TATATATATCTATATCTATCTCCCTATCTCTCTTTTTCTCTCATTCTCTCTTTCTCTCTTTCTCTCTCTTTCTCACCCCCCTCATTTCCTCTCTCTCCTTCTCTTTCTCTCACTCTTTCTTTCTATCCTGTTATATTCTTTTTATTTTGGTCATTTTCATGTATCTTTCTGTCCTCACGAACACTCACGCAGAAATCACTACAGTCAACATAATTAAACACGACATTCTCCACTTTACAGTCAGTTATAAACAACGGCCTTCACTCTCAGTTATTTGTTCAGCAAATCTGTTTGCCCCCTTCCGTCCAACATTCCATCCTCTCTGTCCCCACAAACACGCACACACACAACCATACATACATACAAATGCACACACATACATACGAGCACACAACTTGAATGGCGCGCGAGAGTGTGCGTGTGTGCGTGCGCGCGTACAAACACACACACACACACACACACACACACACACACACACACACACACACAAAATTTTACCTCCCCTTAGACTTCTTTCAAATGAATACATAATGGTGTTTGTCGAAACTACCTCTTGGTACATTTTAAATTTCAGTTTATAAAATTATACAATGTATACAAAGTAAGGAAAAGTACCGCAAACACTCACACGTGCGTGCAGATATGCGTATGCGCGTATGTGTGTGTACCTGTGTGTGCGTGTGCGTGCGCGCGCGCGCGCGCGTGTGTGTGTGTGTGTGTGTGTGTGTGTGTGAGAGAGAGAGAGAGAGAGAGAGAGAGAGAAACGGGGGGTGGGGGAGGCAGAGACACAGAGAGAAACAAAATACGTGCTTTACTCCTCTCATCTTCTGACCGACGTTCCCAAACAGGACCTTGGTAGAGCGCGTAGATATGTGGACAATGGAGTCTTTACGTGCCTGTCCCGAGGGTTTGATCAGATCTGTAGTCTCACAACGTACAACTGTATGTACAATCAACACTACTGGGAGCACAAGAACTGCTCTACACCTTGTGCTTACCAGCTGTAAAAGCGCTGTAACACTATAGTTATGCAAATGCACAGATGTCGATACTACGTTAAAAATCCAGGTGCTTCTTATCTGTTCATCCTTGTGAAGACCACCTTTCTTCTTCATCCGTTTGTTTAAAGTATCCAGCGCCTATTTCTACGTAGCTGTTTGCCATCAAGCTTACACCGTCTAGTTTGTCGAAATGTGATCGTTTAAACGAGCAATAAACTTGTACTATTTTGCCACAATTTAACAGTTTTCAGCCCCACCCCGTTACTTTCAGTTACAGTATACACGACATTTAAACCGATGGTTGAACTTTACTTTTAATGGTCTCCTTTTGAATGTCGGCGAAATGTGAACATTAGTGGGGCCGACTCACAGTAGACTCCACAAATTTTACAACCGTTTTACGTCATTCTTTCAGGGGTCTTTCATAGCTTATACACATGATTACTCCTCTGGTCGGTGTATTTTTTTGTCCAACTTTTCAAAAACATGCCAAAGCCCTATACACTGCACATTAATAAAATAGCGGTACTTTCAACACAGAACATACAAAGTACGGGCATAAAGCGTAGATTGTGAATGGGGACATTAAGGCCTATAATGGCGTCGCCGGGGGCACTGTAGGGTGATGTTGTGTAAGTGAGGGCGATGGTTTCTTTCCAACACAAGCTACCTCTTGTGCTTGACACCCTGTCGTCATAAAGGCGATGGTTGAGAAATGAAATGTTACGAGAGGGTGTTTTGTGTCTGTGTATGTTCCACTCCTTCCTTAACGCACCTCGTTGTTCATGTCTTTGCTAGAACTGTTGATATTCCTGCCCTATGCGTGTAACTGTTTTGTGCAAGCCTTTGTTCTTACCCCGTGTGAAACCATCTGCCCAAGGATTTACAATTTCAAAACGAAAAAAAAAGGAATAAATCTCCCCAAAAAACTCCAAATGACAACAAAATATAAAAAAACATACGAGAAGCAAAAAAGAAAAGCATTATTAGCGACTCTCTCTCTCTCTCTCTCTCT